TCTCTCACTGTCCACTCTGCCTGTCGCGGGGAGGATATAATTCTAAAACAAAAAAAAAAAGAGAGAAGCATTGGCCCAGGCCGCCAGAGCTCCCTTCCTGCCCCGGAGAGCTCCCCCACCATCTCCCCATCACCTCCTCACGTGAGCCGGAGGAGTCGCATCGAGGGGAGGGTTTGCTTTTCCACCTCCCGCCCACCCCACCCCTGCGCTAACTCTGAGCCCCTCTCAGTGTTTGAAAATCGTGGGAGTAGTTCCTAGAATTCTCTGCATGGTGGTGTTTCCTTTGGGTGAGACAGGGTTAGCTAAGCATGGTCCGTCCTCGCGTGCACGAGGCAGCGCCAGCCACATCTGAGTCACCTGGGGAGCCGACTAGAAATGCGTAGATTGGATTCTGGACCCGAAGATCCAGTACCATCTACGAAGGGCCAGGCATCAGTCTTTTATTTATCTTTAACCTGAAAAGTTTGTTCCTTTTTTTTTTCTTTCATTTTACGGTGTGAGGCAAAACCTTACAAACCTCACCCTAATTTCCTGGGTAAAACTAACTTTAGAACTAAACACATATTCGGAACAAGGAAGCCACTTAGATTATAGGACGAGAGCCCTGGAGAGAAACACCCCGATCTTCCTAGAAGCTGAGTTCAGCCAGTAGATGATTAACTGTGAAAGCAGACACTCTATAACTGTGTCTGCTGGGTAGTTTCTGTTCGTGTCCAGTTTTTCTGTTTGCTGTTTAACAGAGGTTAAATAACATTGTTAAATAAGTATGTAGTAGGTCAGCTGCCTACATCTGAATCATGGAGGTTCACTCTTCTCCCCATTAACCAATGTAACTTAAGAAGTACAAGTTCACAGGGAAGAAAAACCCCGTAGCATTCAAGATGAAAGGCGAAGTCCGTCTCTCTGGGGGCTTGCTTCTCTCTCTCATCCTTCTCCCCAGAAAATGTGATGTTTCCCGGGCATCCCTACAGAAATGGCCTCCGCACACAGTCTGAATACAGGTTATGTAAGCAGTCACGTATTGACACACAGGCAGGTTAAGTTCCTTCCAGGATGAGTTTGCCCCTCTATTGGCCTGGTGCTTCCCTCTACTGTATTGAAGCCCTGAAACCTTACGTGGATGGAGTTGTCGGTACCTGTTACGTGAGGAGAGATGGGAGCATTGTCCTTCGAGTGTGTGCCCGATTTGCTGGCGAGATCTTCCTGTAGAAGGCTGCCCAGGGCCGGCGCCGCGGCTCACTAGGCTAATCCTCCGCCTAGCGGCGCCGGCACACCGGGTTCTAGTCCCGGTCGGGGCGCCGGATTCTGTCCCGGTTGCCCCTCTTCCAGGCCAGCCCTCTGCTGTGGCCAGGGAGTGCAGTGGAGGATGGCCCAGGTGCTTGGGCCCTGCACCCCATGGGAGACCAGGAAAAGCACCTGGCTCCTGGCTCCTGCCATCGGATCAGCGCGGTGCGCCGGCCGCAGCGCGCCGGCCGCGGCGGCCATTGGAGGGTGAACCAACGGCAAAGGAAGACCTTTCTCTCTGTCTCTCTCTCTCTCACTGTCCACTCTGCCTGTCAAAAAAATAAATAAATAAAAAAATAAATAAATAAATAAATAAATAAAAAAAAAAAAGAAGGCTGCCCAGCTCAGCCGAGGCTGGTGCCGAGGCCAGCAGCTGCCCTCCCTGCCGCCTCAGACCCGCCGAAGGGCCGCTGGTGGAGGAGTTAAAGGGGCTTATCCTGAGCCGATGAAGACCAGGGGCGGCAGGGAGCAGAGGCTCGGGAATGGCTTATGGCACATAGCTGACTCGGAATTTGCAAGGGGAGTGTGTGTGTTGGGGGTGGGGGTGGCGTCCTGTGAGGTTGCAGATGCTGAACTGGGTTCTGAAGGGAGTAAGACAGCCCTGGGCAGCATGAATGTGACGGTGAGAGGCTCGTGCTCTGGATTACGGGGAACTCTGCCTGGATGTGCCCTGCCCCTTTAGCCAAAGCCAAGTGCATTGAGGGGTAAAGGGTTCAAGTGATGAGAAGCTCTTCATGCTAATCACCTCCGATGTGACTGGTGGCGGTGTCAGGCTCACCCGTGTCCGTGTGCTGGATTGCGTCCTGCTCGTGTCCTGCTCAGACCGCATCTCCCGGGTACCTGAGGGATAGCTAACACACACCACGAGCCTGGTGGCCTGGTGGTGGGGGCACTGCTGGCTACACGGCACCTGCCGTCTCCCCAGGTGGCTGGATGAGACGGAGAGGATTCTGTAGAGAGGTACAGAGTTGGTATTGGCGTTGGAGTGGTTCAGGGCTGGCAAGGCAGGGGAGAATTGGGTCTGGGAGAAGCTTGGGGTAGAGGGATGGTGGGCATACTGTGAGCGTAAAGGGAGACACCGTGGTCCGGGGAACCCCGGGAGCAGCCAGAAGCTCCCGTGAGGAGCAAGCTCTTGCGCAGCTCCTGGGGCCCACAGCGCCCCCGCGGACCGGTCGTGCCTGCGCCACCTGTGTCAGGCGCGGCCAGGCTGAAGACAGCCAGGGACCAGAGAAATCCCAGAGACCGTTAGCTCTGCATCGCCTCGTCCTCTGCGGTTTTCCTAAGGCTTTCAGTGAGCCAAACGATTAGTGAGAACGACAGTCACACACTAGAAAGGCGGTCATGGGAACAGGTGAGGCCAATGAGAGCCCAGACTCGCAAAGCTGGAAGGAAGAGCAGCAGGCTTGGCCACGTGGAGCTGGAGTGCTTACGTCTTAGTGATCAGCCTGCTTACTCCCGTCTCTTCTTGGAGATGCTTGTGCACTTCGAACAGGGTTTCACTGTAAACCTTGCAAGTCAGAAACGCACTGGTGACACCTGAGCTCTGAGCACCCCAGCCCCACTACGCATGGCGTGGCCACCAGAGAGGGAGTGCTGACCATACAGCCTAGCCCAGGAGAAGGATCAAAATTGACGGACACTTTCTTAGTGTGGATGGCCTTCATGCCGTGGCAGAGTTAAGAAATTTAAGTAGAGGCGCTGGCGCTGTGGCGTAGCAGGTAAGGCCACCACCTGCAGTGCCGGCATCCCATATGGGCACCGGTTCAAGACCCGGCTGCTCTACTTCTGATCCAGCTCTCTGCTATGGCCTGGGAAAGCAGTGGAAGGCGGCCCAAGTCCTTGGGCCCCTGTGCCTGCGTGGGAGGCCTGGAGGAAGCTCCTGGCTCCCGGCTTTGGATCAGTGCAGCTCCGGCCATTGCGGCACTTTGAGGACTGAACCAGTGGATGGAAGACATCCCCCGCCCCCCCGCCACCTCTCTTTCTCTCTGTGTGTAACTCTTCCTTTCAAATAAATAAATAAATCTTGAAAAAAAAAAAATCAACACCACTGAACCCAGAGGAATTCTGAGATCTTTGGGCACTTGTTACTGCATGTCAACGGCAGGAAACTCCTGGTCCCTAGACCTTCCTGGCCCGAGTTTTTCAGGACTTGTAGCAGTTCAAATATGTGAGAGTCTGTGCATACACGGAAGGCCGAGAGGGATTTAAAGGTGAGTGACGGGCAGCAAGCAGCCTTGTGATGTGCTGCACGGGTTCCGAGCTTAGGCTAGTGTAAAACAAAGCAGCGTATGATCTCAAAAGGGCAGGAGGAAGACGGTAAATATCTTCTGTCTGTCATGACAGTGGGGGTCTGTGCTGAATTCCCCCCAGGAGGAATTTGCTTACATGAGACTGGAGTCTGAAAAAAAAAAAAAGCTAATTGACCTGCCCGAGGTCGTAGCACTGCCAGGAGCCGGAGCAGGGGTTTGATCAGCTCTGGCTGACCCCATCGTCTCGCTCAGATGCCCACAGAGCACTGTTGCTGGTGGGCTCTGCCGCCCTCTCTCAGCCCGTCTCCTGCTGAGTGGTCGGCAGGACATCTGCGCTTCGATGGCCCTCCCACAGGAAGCTCAGGCCCTCGTGTCTGCAGCCAAGTCCTGCTCCCGCCTGTCTCTGGCGGCTCATCTCCTCAGCCACCAGCAGGAATGGGACGGACGTGGGGTTTTCCTTGAGTTCCCCCTTCACCCCAGATCCAACTGCCATGGAGTCGCTACCCCTATCCTAGATGCTGTTCTCTCTGCTCTCACTACCTCCTGTATGTGGCCTTCAGAAACCCCTGCCTTAGGTTGCCACAGCAGGCTGCAGTCTGCTGCCCTGAAAGGCATTTTCCATCCTACTCTCTCAGAACTGGGCTGCAACGGGTCTGATCCCCGCTAATCCCGTTAGCAGCTGCCAAGTGAGCTGTGGGATGAAATCCACACCCCGGCATGATGTGATCGCGGTGGGGGCATTCAAGGTCCAATCGCTGTGTGCTCTCCCTGCCTCTCGCTGGATCTCCCAGACTCTCCCCTGCCCCCCGACTGATTGACTCAGAACTCAGTTTACCTCCGAGTCTCTCCCGTCCTCCCGTCTTTGTCTCAAGGGCCCCCTCAGCACCAAGTACCTCCTCTCCTGGTTATCAGCGCTGTGATTGTTTCTGTCCCTGGCCGCCAGCCTGGGAGGGGGCTGTGCCCTTTTGCCTCTCCAGCACGGCTCCCTGTGCCTGACACACAGAGGCACCCAGCGAGTGTCTGCCTCTGGATGAATCAACAGAAGAGAGGAGGGCCCCCTACTCTGCTCACCGCCTGGGAGCTGCGTCCCTTCCCTGGGAGCCAGCTGCTCGCTCTGCCTTCATCCATTATGGGTGCTCCCTGTGCTCAGCCCTCTGCCTTTCTGTGTGCTGTGTGCGGCCAGGGTGTGTGGAGCTGATCCTGTTTCCTCACCGGTAACCCCGGAGGACCAGACTGAATGTCCATTCTCTGCCAGAGTGGTGCCTCTCCCTGGGCTCTGTTCTGGCAGCCGCCCTGCGGAGACTCAGAATGTCTGTGCCTCCTGCCGCAGCACAAAGAGCCCGTTTGTAGGGCAGGCTGCTGAATACGGCGCATTATGGCCAGCAGTCAGAGTGGGTCCAGGGCGTGGAGTTTCTCTGAGACAAGCACAGGAATGCCCTGAGATATGAGCAGTCTGCACAGTGCAGGGTGAGTCATGTGGCAGGTGCTGGCGGCAGGATCTGGTCTGCCTTCCCCGCCGACCCAGTTGCCTCCCGGCTGGAGGGGAGCTGGCTGCCGGTCCCGCTCTGCTCCCTGAAGTGTCGTGGGGTGTCGGGTAGGTCCCCCTCCAGCCAGCGTGCGTGTGTGCATGCGTGTGTACGTGTTGTAGAGCTCTGTGGTAATTCATATCCTGGGAGACGGCTTGAGGGAAATGCAAATTATGTTTTGTGCTCTTGATAACTATCTTTGTGATCGCTCAGTGGGTATCTAGGAGTTTCAGCTGCCCAAATGCCGCGTATATCACCGAACTCTCTTCTTGGTTGGTCTTTTTTAGGAATGTGAATCTGAGGTGAGTGAGTGAAGAGCTGGGTAAATATCAGGGCTCGAGTGTGCCGGCTGCCGGCTGGGAGCGAGCCAGCGCTCCTCCCACTTCCCCGGCACGGCACACCGGGAGGCTCTCGGGGGTCTTACCGGGCTCAGAGTTGGGATCTAACTTTGTACATCAACATCTGGTCTCTTGACAAGTGGCGGTCCGTTCCCTGGGAACTCAAGGCTCCCTAAACTTGACTCTGGGTGAGGCTGCCTGCCATTGTCAGCCCAGCACGGGAAGAAGGGCGTGGTGGCTGCCTCCGAGAGCCGTGGCGTGTGCCTTGGAGCTGGCCGTCCTGGGACACCCCACAGGGGGCTGTGGGTTGGGGGAAGGCTCCATTTCACATGGCTCCTGCCCGTGGGAGCTGCTGGTTCATGGGGAATCTGTTTTCACTTTGTGGCTGTGTCACAGAAGGCTTCTGTGTGTTGCTGTAAATAAGTATTTTCTTTATTCCGTGGACATTACAATATTTGCCACATATATTAATTCAGGCTCTTTTCTCCTGGTTTTTCTGTGTCAAAGGTTTGTCTACAGTGTCACTTAGGAGGACCTGTTGTGGGTAACTGTCTCCAGTCTTTTTTTTTTTTTTTAAGACGTTTATTTGAAAGGCAGAGGGAAAGGGAGAGACAGATCTTCCATCCTCTGGTTCACTCCCAAAATGGCTGCAGCAGCTAGGACTGGGACAGGCTGAAGCCAGGAGTTTTCTTCCTTGTCTCCCACATGCATGGCAGGGGCCCAAGCACTTTGACCGTCTTCCGCTGCTTTCCTAAGTGCATTAACGGGGAGCTGGATCAGAAATGGAGCGGCCGAGACACAAACCGGTGTGCATATGGCCAGCGACTTCAAACACAACCTGGGGCCCCTGTCCCCAGTCTTTAGAAACCAGAACAGCTTCGGGCAGGGGAGGGAACGGCCAGCGGGGATAACTTGTTCCTGATTGTCTGATCTTTGATCCCTTGCTTCTTGGAGGTTACTCCTGAGAGCACAGCTTTCTGGAGCTTCATGGCATTGGCATTGTGATGCGGCAGTTGACGGAAGGAAAGGGAGAATGGCTCCCCAGGCTCCTAGAACCCTGCGTGTCCAACAGCACCAGCTGCCTCCTGGGAAAGGGGCCCTGTGGCCAGCGCGCCCCACGTGCCGTGCTCTAGAAGCCCTCCCAGCGCCCTAGGCTCTCCCGGCCGGTCCTTCTCCCTCGTTCCTCTCCCCCAGCCAGCTTAGGGCTAGAGGGTTGTTGATGCTGCTGTGTGGGGTAGGGGTTGGGAGAATGTGGAGCTTCGTCTCCACTGCGTGCTTCACGTTCCTGGGTGTGAACCAGCGAGGGTGAGGATCCAGGAAGATGGAGCCCATTGTGCAGGTAGCCTGACGGCCTTTGAGAAAAATCACAGTTTAAGTAGAGCCTGAACTTTAGATTTTGACATTATTACCCGGAGAGCTAGGCATAGTGCCAGAAACGGAGCAATAGTATTGAAAGATGTTACTCGTTCTACACCTTAACACAAACACACATTCGTGAAACAAACAATGTTTGTCTCCGGAGTCCCAGTCCTAGTCCAGAGATAACTACCATCCAGCAGTCGTAAGATAGCCTTCTAGCAATTGCCATGCAGAGAGTACGCTTGTCTCCACCTGCAGTAAGCCTCCCACCCCACTTCGGAAGCACGGATGCGCCGGCACCGTGGGCACGGCTCTGCACCGTGGCTTTTCTCTTAGCAGCTTGGCTTGGGTCGCTTCCCACAGTGGCCCGTTCGTATCCCTTCTCCATTTTGGTGCTCCATTGTTTGCCGTTGTGCTGTGACTTTTTAAAGTGGCTCCTTACTGATGGGTGTCTGTGCTGCTTTCGGAACTGGGAAGGAAAGGTGGTGCTGTTGCAGGGAGCAGGAGACTCCTGTGCGGGAAGCAGCAGAGGGGAGCCAGGAAGGAGCAGAAGGCTTGTAAATACTCTGCTCTCGATTTCCGTTTTTGCTTTAAAAGATTGGTTTTCATTTATTTGAAAGGCACAGTGACACAAAGGAAGAGACAGAGGTCTTCCATCTGCTGGCTCACTCCTGAAATGGCCGCACTGGCCAGGGCCGGGCCAGGCTGCAGCCAGGAGTCTAGAACGCCATCTGGATCTCCCACACGGGTGGCAGGGGCCCAAGTGCTTGGGCCATTGGCTGCTGCCTTTACCGCGGCATTAGCAGGGAACTGGACCAGAAGCCGAGCAGCCAGGGCTGGAACTGGCGCTCTGTAAGGGATGTCAGCGTAGCACACGGTGGCTTAACTTGCTGCACCACAGCGTGGGCCCCTCCTTTGCTGTTTTAAATCTCTTTGATTGATTGATTGATTGATTGTCTTTTGAGTGCTTTGAGAACCATACGGAAGCTCGAATGGGCAGCCCTACTGCCATGACAGTGGAGAAGGAAATTGTGTGAAACTTAAAAATCTGGAAAAGGAATGATGAGGGATCTTTAAAATTTCATGGAGAGTGTGTGTGATGAAACACTGCATGGATTTCACAACTGTGTCGCACCAAAATAGATCTTTCGATTTCATTTTCCATATGACTGTGTGTATGCTGTATTTACAACCTAGTGGTAAAGAATTGGGAATTTGCAGTTCTCGTCTTTCCCACCGCTGGCTCAGATCCTCCCTGTGGCAACTGGACTATTGTAATAACCCGACTAGCAAACCTTCTTGTGATAACCCATGTGTTTGGAAGTAGGAGAGTTTCATTACACAGAGATCACCATTGCAGTTGTTACCAGAGAAGCAAAGGGTCCTTGTCTTTGTGCAAGAAAGAATTCAGGCGTGAGAGAGCAATGAAAAGCGACAAAGCAAGGTGTATTAGGGTAGGGACATCTGTAAGAACGGATGGGCACCTCTCCAGACAGAACCTGAGAGAGTGCGTAGTTCACATTTAAGCTGGGTTCTTAAGGGGATGGGTCTTGCCTTCCTGCCTTTTCTCTCCCCTCTCCTTCTCAAAGGACTTGTTGGGTGTAAATACGAAAAATTCCTTTCTGAGTTTTTCCCCCTGAAGTTACCATACAGGGGAAGCTTGGCTGGCATCGCTCCGCCTTAGAGGAAGGATGTTTATCAGGCCAGGTAGAAGGGGCAGGACTCCCGGAAGGTCATCAGGATCCGGGCGGGACTTTGAAGTGCAAGATGCTGGGCTTCTGGAGCTTCCGCAGCAGGTGCTGGTCTTCAGGCCTTTCTCATATGCACATAAGCTCAATTTCTGACTTCCTACCTAACACAATGATACAAGGGTTCTGCAGAAAGTTTGTGTAAAAATAGAATTACGAGATAAATGAAGGGCTGGTGTTGTGCAGTGAGTTAAGCCGCCTGTGACACCAGCATCCCATATGAGTGCTGGTTCGAGTCCCAGCTGCTCTACTTCCAGTCCAGCTTCCTGCTAATGTAGGCGCTGCTGCTGCAGCCTCCCAGTCGTGAGGGCACGGACATGTGGCTCAGTCTTGGCCAAAGGGACCAAGGGGGAAATCTGCTAAGGAGCTTCTGGAAAATGTGTCCACCCTAATAAAATATGAAAGAAGACAAGCATTCTCATCTGCAGCCAGAGTGTCTGCATGTGAGCCCTGGAGCCCCACAGCTCTGTGGCCTGCCTGGGGGAACAGGCAAGTGTCCTGAGGGAAGTGCGAGGAGAACGGAAGGGCTCGGCCCTTGGATATCTGTAAACCACCAAGTCAGCCCTGCCCTCTGAAGCCTTATATTGCTTTAGCCCTGGTGCCCTCGCTATTGAATTTTCTTTTATCCAGTTACTGAAGTTATCCTATTTGATAGAGACTTTTAGCCACAGGAAGTGGTTTCAAAGTAGCAAGACAACTCACTATAAGGAGAGTGGAATGCCTGCTGTATACAGCAGATATATGAGCACCTAGGGCTGTAAAAAAAAAACAAACGAACGCTATGGCATAACGGGTTAAGCTGCCTCCTGCGATATCAGCATCCCATATGAGCACTGGTTCAAGTCCTGGCTGCTTCACTTCCAAAAGCAGCGGAAGATGACCCAGGTGCTTGGGCCCCTGCACCCATGTGGGAGACCCAGATGAAGCTCCTGGCTTTGGCCTGGCCCAGCCCTGGCCGTTGCAGCTATTTGAGGGAATGAACCATTGGAACCAAGGAAGATCCCTCTCTCTCTACCCCTCACCCTGTCTCTGTAACTCTGCCTTTAAAATAAATCTTAAAAAAAAAAAAAAAAAAAGTAGTGGAACGAGGTGGTAAAGGATTTAGTGCAACAGGAGGGACTTGGTGAGAGCAGCAGGAGTTCTGAGTAAGTGCTGCTTACTAGTATGGGGTAGGGGTGGGGAAGAGGCCATCAAAAGGACTTTGTGTGGGAGGCGGGAAACTGAGCCAGGCTCTGCAGGAGCCCTAAGGTGTGGGTGATGTGGAGAGTTGGAGATGGTATTCCAGGAAGCCCGGAGACTCCAAAAAGAACACAAGCTGTGGAATCTCGCCTGGGTTCAGACCCTGCCTTGTCCCTACCTTGGTGGTGACCTTGCCAAGTTCCTTTGTTTGCTACACTAAGCAGAGCTTGCAGAATTGGGGTGAGGACTAGAGACAAAACGTGTCCAACATCTGTCACGCTGACAGGTGCACAGCTGGCCCCGAGTAGATGGTGAGA